TAGAGCAGCTATATATACATGCATATTGACTTCATGACCTTTTAGAGCTTGCTGTATGATATATCCCTGTATCCACGGTATCGAATAATAATCCTCATCAACATCATCTAATAAAGACAGAGTTTCATGACATCCGAGCGGCTTATTTAAGTCCGGGTGAGGGAAATTCCATTCTCCTTTTCACTTTATGACGGCACAGGAAGCCCGAAACAGAAACATGCAAAACCGCAGTAGACTCTGTAATTTCGGTTATCTAATATTTCCATTACTCCAAATAAAAAATAGATGACAATAGAGCGGATTTCGTATGAGTGGGACACCGTTACCACACGGTTATCGCACAGTTACCGGACCTGGCCTTCACAATTTTGGTGAACCAATGGGGCACTAGAATTTGGTTACAGTACGATTACGGACACAGTACAGTACCGTCCGTTTCCCACTCATACGAAATCCGCTCTATGAGATTAATAAAAAGTAATTTTGAGCGAGTAAAAGCTATCTCAGACTGACGTATTTCAGTCGTAGGTCGATATGGAGAAGGTCATCTTTTGAGTAACAACATAATATTTCATGCTAATCAAAAGTGGTAAAAAAGAAAAGTTACTTTGTGACAGTTTGGCAACATAACCAAAAGATTGGTTGTGTCTGAAAAATGATTTCAGTAACAAAGTTTTTCACCCTCGTTTTTGTGGGGAGGCTTTTAAATTTTGAGTTTTATTATTGCACTATTAATCAGCTATAATGGACACTAGTGAAAAACGCACTGCGCATGTCCACAGCTTTCCCGCCAGTGGGCGCTCGCGTCTTGAAATCTGTAAACAGAGCGCCTGGCGATTTACAGCGACAACACAGAAAACACTACGAAAAACCTCATTTTCTCAAAATAGAAATGACAAGATAAAAATAGAAGCTACATACTAAAAGGACCTATCATGAACAATGATTGATGGAAATATGAATCTTATATATTGGTGAACGAGCTTATAAATTGTAAAAAACTTTCACAAAAATCGCTTTACAAAGGAAATTAGGCAGATTTCAGCGGGAACAGTGGACATGCGCAGTTAGATTTTTAACCAGTGTCGCTATAATGATCACCAATAAGATACTTCTTCTTAATTTATAGATGTAATTGATTGCATTGTGGACAGTTGAAAATATATCCATCATTTATATCTTCTCATAATCGCCTAAAATCAAACTAAGATCGAATRAGATATATCTCAAACGTTTTTAAGTACAAAACTAAAACTGGAAATTGAAAGTAAATAATGTAAATCGATTCGACGCCTAAGCTTCACAGAACGTAGCATCCCTACAAAAGTCACTTTGATCTTTCAACTACAGTTTGTGACAGATTTTCTAGCTTAACCAAAAGATTATTTGTGCCTGAATTAATCGTCACAATCTATTTTCATGTTTGGGTGTTGGGTTCTGACTCGTGACAAACGTATATTGTAATATCCCACTTTTTGTTTTCTCCACATTTCCTCCCTTTTTCATTATTTTATTGCTTTTGAAAAAGAACTGTCCATCTGACATTTGACATACTTTTATTCCGTTATATGACATATGATATACAGTTTAGTGGTTATATTTTTTTAGTCATTATTGAGCAATGTTTTAATGACATCCACAGGGCCCCTGCATGAACCATGCACACCTAGAAACAAACAAACAAACAACCAAAAATCGCAATTGAATCAATCAGTATTTTTTAAGTGGGGGAGAGGGAAGAGTATATCATCAGAATATTATTGGGGGGTTAAATCCCCTCCCCTTCCCCCGGCTCCGCCGTCACTAAGAAAGAGGAGAAGTAAATATAGATTATTTGCCATTTATCATTTCAGTTACTTCAAAAAATCTTGGGGTTCCTGTGTTTGGTAACAAGCTGTATTTGCGGTCAGCGGATGATATGGCGGTAAATTTGGTTGTTGTTACTTCATCGTCTGTGCCGTYGGAGTTTTTTCGATGTTTTGGTAAGTTTTATTCCTTATTCCTATTTTATATATTTCTAGAATGTTGTTTGAATRCTAGACTTGTGTTTTTGGGCATATTTATATTACTATTGTGTCTTACAGTATGTTTGTAGTTTATTTCGTATGCCTGCACGAAAACACGAAAAAGCTGCGCCAATTCGTGTTATAATAAATCCTTTTAGCGATCTCTTTTACGCTGTGTTAGCCTCAAAACCATGTTTTATTCACTAACAGCAAATGCAAGAGATCTGTGAGTATAGAAGACAATGGAGTTTTCTCTAAATTTCTGAATATTTTGCACACAAATGAGGCTAACACAGCGTAAAGGAGATGAGAAACTCAACTATTCAAGCAATAGAAAACTATTTCTGTGTTTACGTTGCCAGATAAAAACACGAGGGTAGGTTGGGAGAATTTGAGGCGGTTATGGAAACCCGAGACGAAGTCTCGAAGCTTGGTATATTCGTGCTTAGCATTCAAAATCATTTAAAGCCATATTCAAGCAGCAATAGAGGAGAAAAGCCGAGTTAAAACCACCATTGCACTCATAATTAATAATAACAAAATTATGATATTTTTATATTTATCATAATTTATATGTGAAGTTCTTACTTGAAATCATTGCAACATCTCGCACAATCTCTTTTCTCTATTCCTCCATAAGATCTCGCAAACTTATGCTGGTCCTCAGGGTAAAATGGCACATCATTTTGAGCGTGGTGTCCTTTGTGCATCACTTGACCAGTGGCTGTACAACAGAAAAATATGATTTTTCAATTAATATTTAATATTTCCATGTTGTTAAACTGATTGAATGTATTATTTCTTATCGGATGCTTCATTTTACACACAGGGTCTAGCCCTAATCCCRYGCMCTTTTGGTAAAAATGAACCAAAAGGCACTGGRTTTGAGTGCATCTTTTCATTAAAAGTGAATGGATGTAATGCTGTGTAAAGTACATTCATTTTTCATGAATATAAGTAAAGAAATTCAACAAATTATTGTACCAATTAAACACTATTAGATCTAGGTAGAGATTTTATTATGATCAAGTGTTGAAAAGAAATCTTATGAGTGATGACAGATTCCCTGATTGGCTGTTYATTGACAGAAATATTGCCTTTGTTTCTTTTTGAAAAATAATTGAATTTTAGGTTCAGCTCAGTAATATTTCCAGCCCTAGAAAAGGGAGTGGCTAGCCACCTTAATCACCCCATRGATACCATCCTTGCAGCTATTTGCTACTTAAGTAGACAAAGGGTATCATAATTATAAGGCACTTTTTCCAGCTGATCTGATCATTACTTTATAAGAAAGTTTTYTGCAGTTGGGGTTGCACTCACACCTGTAATAATCACACTGACACTTCTCCTAATTGATTCCTGCCTGCTTTAAAACTAAACATGCAAAAGYTATACCTAAACCAACAAAGAACTACAGGTAAAATACGCACTAAGTAGTATTTGCATAGTCATTTGAAGATTTTATAGTAACCATACCTGTACATGTTATTAGATAGGTAAAGTTGTAAGAGACATCTTCATGACAGTTATTTTTAAAATTCCATAAAAAAATTACATATATTACTCTTTTCTTTATACATAATTCTTCTTGCACGTCAGAACATTTTCTGTTCATAAATATGAATTTACTACATTTTTTTCAAGAGAGATGAAATATATAAGTATTAGCTTGAATATCTATTCAATTTTAACAACTTACATGCAGGTGCTGGCTCTGCAAKATGGATTAAACCGACAAGCACTAGTGTAGCAAATAATRCCAAATGGGCTTTCATTGTGGTTTGAACTTCACCTGCTCTATTCTAACTTGTACAGGAGAACTGATTCTATGTGGTCGCACTTACTGTGTTGTATCCAAATATTAAGAAATCAGAAGACTCRAAAGTTTAGGAGAAAAACTCCAACTGTGCACCGCATGGGGTCATCCATTTTACTAATTGATGGAATAATACAAGGCACATTCTAACAATTATCKTTTAATCTCCTATAAGATGTCATGGGGTGGCTTTAATTTGACTTTTGCTCCAATACTTACAAATACTATTGTTCTAGTTTGCGATATTTTTCTTTTTCTTTTCTAATCGTAYAAATTGGGTGTTTGCTGTTTTGAGTACATATACTGTACGTGGATTATACTTTTAGAGGGCTGAGGCTCTACGTATTTCTTGTTTTAGACATTCTGTTAAAGTAAATATAGCAGGGAATTATGGGATGTAGTCATGGTTTGGAATAACTTGACGCTTTTATTGTCAAAAATACGATGTAGGCAATCAAACTAAATAATGGTCAATGAAACTTGAAATAAACAAGAAAATAATATCGAMAATTTAAAAAAAGAAAATGAAAATGAAATGAAAAAGAAATGATTTTGAACAGGTTGAATTAGTCAGAAAAATATATTACCAGATTAATTGAGAAACTTCAATTTTGTGTCATTAAATTAAAGCGTTCTTTGTCCAAACCGCCTTTCTAATTCAAACCAATAATTTCAAGTTTCAATTTTGCTCTAACTCTGTGTGTGTCCATTAAATCGACGCACATTTTGATAGTGTAACCCAATATGTCAATTTTCTGATCACTACACAAATCTGTAGTTGGGATGTCCACCGCAGTTTTAAAGCAAATAGCTATGGTTTTATGAAGCCGCGGCCATTTCGTTTGTTTCCCTTGTTAGAGTTCTATAGGAAACCATGTTGACTTACCGTTTTGGAAAGAGAGTGGTTTTAAATGACTGGAATACATTTCCCCTTTTAGCAAAAACGTGTGAATTTTTTTTTCGACAACCTTAATCTTTATAAAATATTTTACACTTTGTTAGTATTACCGACTGCACTGAAAACATTATATCACTGCGAACTTATTTTAATGTTATTTCGAGACTGCCGTTATTGTTTAGTGTAAAAGTCCTTTGTTAATAACTTGAGGAATATTTCAACTGCAAAAATCAAAGGTGGTTGATAAAAGTTAGGTAATAACAAAACAAGAACGCACTTGTAGTTTGTTAATTGTACGGCCTTTATTACGATATTAAGTACAACAATTCTCATTTATTAAAGCCGTTTCTAATACACATGTATCTACCTTCATTGGAAATCAAGAAAAATGATTTCACTCAATCCTACCACTGTTTATTTCCTTAATACTTTTGAGTATGATATTATTTTCGACGAAAAAATAATTATTTCAAATCAACATTACGCTGTTGAATAAGAAGTTAAAGAGGATTCTGTACATTTGGACTTGTTTTCCTGATATATACACATTAGATCAATGATTTTGTAGTATTTTCACAAAGATAGATTAAATACTACTTAAAATGCATTGCCTTTTCTTCTTCAACAGTGAATGGTAAAGTTGCAATTAACCCAAAGCATAAATTTACATATGTTTAAGTATCGTGATCCCGTTGATCACCATATTTAGCACTGACATGATAAGCAATCTGGTACAAATTCTACAGATTTCATCATTTAAATTTTTAAAGATTTTTAACTTATCGTTTTTTAACTTAATTTTTATCGGTTATCAGATAAGTTTAATTCATCTTGTCAGTCTTTCGTTGACGGAATTTAATGTTCCCTGATTTTGCTTTTACCATGTCCATGCTGAATCGAAAAACAGAGAATGCATTAGAAAACGAATTCGAGACCTTTCTAACTGGTTAAAAATATCGAAATATTGATTTATTTTGAGATATCTATGGACATTGCTCGCCATAAAATGATATCCTTACTCGTGACGCTTCCCTCGCATCATACAGCAACGTTTGCTACAATATGTTGGGCACTGAGGCGCCATTTGGCAACTTGGCTGACATTGATTGTGTAATGGTATTTGCATTAAAGAGGCCAAGTTAGGATTTTGTGGTACTGTGATTTCGATAGGCGCTCCCTTTAGCTTAATTTTGACATTCTTGAATTTAGGTTGTTTAAACTTAAGTGGTTTACATGGGTTAGTAGGGTTATGGAGACATTTTGGATAGGTCATGCCAGGGATGAGTGGCATGCCGAGTGGACTAGGAATGGCCGATCCGTACTGTGATCCATAAGGATTGTAAGGCATTGACTGAATTGGTGGCTGGACGCTGTATTGAGAATAATCAATACCTCCATAAGTGCCCTGCTGGTGAGCTTGAACAGGCGTTACATTCTTGGCAACTGGCTTTTTGCTTTTAGCTTTAGCTGGACGCCTTATTGGAGCACGCTTGGAACATGGCCCTGGGATTCCTGGGTAGCAAGGGTTTCCTCCAGTAAATTGAACAATTGGGGGTGGTGCAATGTACGGTGGGGGTGGAGCTGGCAACATAAATGCTGTAGAAGGAGGACTACAACAGCCTTGTATTACAAGTGGCTTTGCTGCTTTAGCTGCGGGTTTCTTGGCAGCTGGTTTCTTTGCTGCAGGTTTCTTTGGTGGGCATGGGCTAAATGGTGGCATACAGGGAGCACCGAATGGCATTTGCATTGGCATAGGGGCTGGCATTGGCATTGCAACTGGTGGCATCATAGGCATCATAGGTGGTGCACATGGGTTCATAGGTGGAGGACCACAAGGAGCCTTTCGTGGTGGTGGTGGTGGTGGTGGAGGGGGAGGTGGAGGTACCATAGGTGCACATGGGTTCATTGGCGGTGCACCGCATGGAGCCATTGGAGGTGGCATTGGGGGAGCAAATGGCATTTGCATTGGCATGGACATAGGGGCACCATATCCAAATCCTCCACATGCAGGAAAGCCAGGCATTCCGCATCGCCTGAATGGTTTCTTTCCTCCTTTTTTGGCCTTCTTCTTCTTATCTGATTTCTTGGCCTTCTTATCTGATTTCTTTTTGCATGGTGSAGCGCATGGTGCTGCTCCATATCCATACGGCATTTGTGGCATCATAGGTTGCATAGGTGGGGCCATAGGTGGAGCACATGGAGGAGCTCCACATGGTGCACCCATAGGTGGCTGCATTGGGGGCATCATAGGTGGAGCCATAGGTGGCGCCATAGGTGGGGCACATGGAGGAGTTCCACATGGGGCACCCATAGGTGGCCTCATTGGTGGAGGCATCATAGGTGGAGCCATAGGTGGAGCCATAGGTGGGGCACATGGAGGAGTTCCACATGGGGCACCCATAGGTGGCCTCATTGGTGG